TATTGCTCGGGGCAGGATGAATATTGCGACCAATTTCGAATAGCGTTTATTCTCTATCCGTGAATCCAACTCTTTAACGAATAGGCAGACAGACGGACGGACGGACGGACGGACGAATAGACCGACCGACCGACCGGACCGACTTACAGGCACATCAAGTGACTGACGGGCAAACAGGCCAGGAGTGATCCCGTATGAGGGCGCGCCTGCTCTTCCGTAGCAATTCGCTAATTTGTTCTGTTCTATCCGTTTCACGTAGTCCTTCTTTTTTTCTTTGGTTTTCCTCCCTCTTTCTTGTCATTACGTTCTAACTCTATCCACCGCCGAGTACAGATAGATCATTCACTATGTATATATACATATATCGTTCCTGTAATGGCGCTCTTTCAAAAGAAAGCCGAAGAAACGAGACTGATCGGTTAACGCTTAAGTGTAGCTGACTGCGCTTACTATTGCAATGAAGGCAGATGGGCACGTTGCGTTTGCGTCCGTACTGAGCGTCCCCTCGTTAAGTCATCATCCGACAGATTCTCTCTCGCCCGTCGTGTAGATACTCGATGGTTTCCTTACTGTCTGCTCGATTGCCGATAATGCCTACTTGAATATTTCCACTGCTTTATATGATGATACGAATCGAGTCTCGAGCCCTGTGCACTCTTTGCCTCCCTGACTTTCTCTGTCTATCGGTCGATGGATCAGCACTCGGACGGCCTCAGACCTTCGACGGCGTCTGTGGGCGGCGTCGTTCTTGTTGTTGGCATGGCCATGGTGCGATCGACAAAACGCTAACGGTACACTGGCGTTAACGGTGCTTGTCGTTGCGGCAGAGCCGGCAGCAGGCGATAGTCGCGTAAGCGGCGGTTGTTCCAGCATCCTCGTCGCGTTGACATCAGCCTCGTGAATTGCGGACAAAACGGCGGTTTGGAACAAACGATTACAGCGGACATAGACTGGTGACCGGTGATAGTAACGGGACTCATCAAGATTCATTAAAAATATCATTACTCTCCCTCCGGCTACTGCAGCGGCGACATCGATGGCGGCGACGACGCGTTTACGAGTGTGCGATCGCACTCACGGGTTTATAGTGCCGTTGCGCAGATACTATGGCCATCGCCAATAGCAGCGCCATAGGCAGGCGTCGCATCTCTACTTGCAGCAGCCTCACCGTTTCTTCTACTACGATATATATATATATGCATATAATATATTTTACTAGTATGAGAGGCGGGAGTAGCAGAGGTAGCATTACTGCTTACAGCCGTGGTCGCCGCCGTCTGAGGCACACGACGACGGCGACAATGCTGCCTGCCAAACCTTATCTATCTGTCTGTTCGTCTGCCGAGAGACGCTAGCTCATAACATGCAGCAGCATCAAGTAGATATAACAGAAGCGGCGCAGAATCAAACGAGGAGTTATGCTATCCCCATTCGTTCAATAAATAGTCGTTTGCTACCGGCGCTGTTACTAGACGTGTATGACGAGTAGCGCCATATTACGCCCATCCATAACACTATTCAACTCGTCATACTTGTACAGTCGAGTGCGGACAGGCACAAACAGAGTTTACGCCCTTCCTTTTTCGCTCTACGTCTAGTGTCTTTCTTTCATATAGGTATGTGTACATTATAAGATAAATTTGTACTCATATGCACACGGGCAGGAATAGTATACATCGGCAGCGAACGCAGCAATGTGTATTCGTGCAGTGGCAGTAGCCCTGCGCCACCTGCCTAAATTACTAACGCGACCACGAGCGGCGGCACAAGCGAGCAATAGCAGCAGCAGCAGCAGCAGCAGCAGCATCGACATATTGGCGGCCGCCAACAAACTCACACGCACCAAAACAGCAGCCATCGTCAGCGCCGCTCTACTGCGACTATTACCCCTGCTCTCAACTCTGCACCAGCTTCCTGTCTTTTGCTGTGTACGATGAGGCGATCCGATGCGAATTCGCTTCATATATATCTACGTATGTCACATTGGCAACATCGTATCGAGTGAATGAGTGAGCAAACAGCAGACCCGTCATCAGCCATCGGCTACCATCATTACCATCAGCAAGACCATGTCGCTTGTTTAACGACTAGAGTCACCATGGTGCTTGCTGTTGGGTCAGTACAGCACCCAGTCGTTGTAATTGTACAGACGGGTTTGCGTGCGGCTTCTCCGAACGAACGATCTCCCTTCCATCCCCCCCGCCGTGTCCTCTGGCCGGCTATCTAAATATCGTACCTCTCTCGGCGTTCTTCTTTGAGTAGCGTTGTTTTCCACTTTTTTGACGGAACGATAATTGTTACTGCGTTACCGACGAACTCTAACGTCAAACGAACATGTTTTATCTAACAGCACGTACTTAACATATACTATTATCCAAACGACATAGATGCAGAGATACTGACCACAAAGAGCTGAGTCTTTGCGCTCTGTCGCTCAATGTTAGATGTGGATTAAACATTCCCAAAAATATTAATTCTAAAAATTAATAGAATTGTTTACTATGTGTATACTAAGCTTTGCAGAGATAGAAAGCATTGCAGTTAAACGATATCCGAAGGGAGAAAGTAGTCATGGGGAAGATACGAATAGTGCTGTTAGATTCTCACTCATGATTATCTATGTCGTATGTCCTTTCCGTTTCTAAATAGTATGAACGTATTCAATGTCATCGGCTCCAGCAACGACATCTCAAATAATCATCGCCTCGACTACGTTTGTGCCTCACTTTTTCGTCCGTTTGCAAAAACGGGCAGGCTACGCAAAGCTTGTCTACCCCAGTCCGCTTTCCTGATGCTTTGTCCACTGTGTTCTGCTCTATCTTACCATCGCGCCTCTACGACGGCTACGATGGCAGCGGTGGCGGCTGCCGATGCTGTGGGAGATTTTCGTGCCTGAAGAGATAACAGATAACACACAGGCCTCCTTATTGTCGTCGCAGCTGGCAACGTAGAGACGGCGGCACCGGCGCATGATGATTACTGTCCGCTGACCACCGAACACAATTCTTCACTGGGCTCACTGCATTTGTTATCATTGTTGTTGTTGTTGTTGCCAACAACGCAGTGTTAACGCTAACGTTGTCCAAAGAAACGACGGTAGCCCTCGCCGGAGAAAAGCGAATCTGGTTGCGCTGGCTAAATAAAAAACGAAAACAATTTGCAACCCTCTAGCGAGCGCTAGAGAACAACTACAGCAGGAGGAGCACCAGCAGAAGCATGATTAAGAATAACAACAAGATCGGTTCTGCCAACGACAGCATCAACTCTCGATTCCCCTTCCTTTTTAGCGCCATTGTTGTCATCGTTGCCATCATCGTCAATGACGGGTGGTAGGTGACTTGTACTCAACTCGGTCGAGTTGGGGATTCACTCACGTTACATCAACACATTGATGATGAATGTGGCTGTAAGAGCGCATAAACGTACGCAGCGCAAAGGCGTCCGTCCGCTTGGAGGGCCTATGCAAAGCAGTAGCAATAGCAGTACCGATGATAAGAGAGCCAGCCACCATGGCCGCCGAGGCGGCGCAGGTCACTGCTGCGATGAAGATTTGAGCAAACTACAACAACAACAACATAACGCCTGCAATAACATATCACTGTTATCGCCGCTGTGACTGCGATTGGTAGTTAATCCAGATTGTGTTCCTGTTGTTGTCGGACCCTTTTCCCTTGGCCTGTGAGAGCGGGACACAACGATGAAGAAAGAAGGCACACTGGCTAGGAACAGGTGTTGACTACGTGCTACATCGAACTCGTAGAATATAGAAATCGATGATGAACACGGGCTACTTATAATATCGTGTATATCTTGGGCCGTGACGACTGACTAGGACGAGGCTGATGTGTAATGGGGGATGAAGCGCGTATCGCGACGCGAAGTACGATACAAGAGGAGGCATTAACGATATCAGAACACGCCGCAAAGGATACCTGCTATGGCAACGATAGATTACAACACTTTGATCAAGTCAGTACGACCGTTGACCGATGTGTGATAGTCCCAAGAGCTAATTTGCCTTTTAAAAATCTTTACTACAATGGGTGATGACAATGTAATATTTCGGCAAAAACTACATTTGAATGAAACGTGCAGGAGCAAATGATACTATAATACATTTATATCCTCATATTGCAATCCTCATACAAGACTCAAAAGAACAACCTATCGGAATACACGGTACAACGGTAGGTCAACGGCGTCAACTTCCGCATATATATATATATATATTTACAATACATTCTAGAGCCTATAGTTCAGTATGTTTCAACTGAACCTTTATATTGAATGGTTGGTTATCATGCTCGCTTTACATCCTCCAATCCCGAAGGCGAGACAGCCTTGTTTCTGTTGTTCTTCGAGTCCTTTTTTACGATCAGGTTGAAAGATGAGTGCTTGGTGCGCTATCAAGCACGTTTAACACGACAGACATGCGGTGCCATCCCGCAAAAACGTATCGGTAACACACACACGAGATCATCCAATAGGAGCAACACCGTAGCCACTATCGTCACTACTGATTACGCCTTCACTTTTATAGGGTAGCATTGTCAGAGAATCCGCAGCATGCGCTTGACACTATACAGTAAGCATATACAATCAACTATACCCATGAAGCACACAATCAAGAACACTTGAAGCATATGACTCCTGAACGACAACACATTGCACGGCAGACATGAAACGTTGTTCGTGTTACGCTAGTCAAGCCCATTAGGACAAATGGCCGGATGTTCTATAGTGTTGAATCCATTTTTGCTTAATAGTCTCTGTTTTCTAGAAAATTGATAATGACATATCCGCGCGCTTGTACAGTTGCGCGATACGAACAATATAGAAGCAACACCCAGGCAGCGGCACTTTGTTACATTCCTTTGGGAAGATCACCCATCCATTATTGGGAACGACATCGATTTGCGATCTGTTGTATACCTAAACACTCTTTGCCAGGTGGTAAACATACGATAGAGCTAATCACCACTGAATCACCTATAACTCACATTTTTAGGTTAATGCACACAATCTATAGTCCTGCGTAACTCATCCATCGAAGGTAAAACACTAATTACAGAAGCGTCTCGGCTAGACTCCACTTTCTGGATAAACACTGGCTAGACAGAGGCTTGGATGAAGGTAATGCACTCGGCATAAGCACGGACACCTCTCTACACCGGAAACATTGTGTTCGCTATTGAATACGGTCATCATCAAATACGGTACAAGTGGCACTGCGATAGTGAAACAGATTCAACTGTGGCCCTAACGCTGCATCAGTACCATTTTTGCTAGTAATAGTTAGCAATAATAGTTACAGTAGCAGCGTGCGTGCGTGCGTGCGTGAGTGTATGCTCTACATGAATAGAGGTAGATATGCAGTCGCCTTTCACCGCTCCTACGGCGCCCACTATACACCATCAGTGCGAATAGAATTAGCAATATTTGTAGCAGTAGCAGTGACAGCCCCGTAGACGACCTCTGCTAGCGGCGACTAGCGGCACAGCATATTCGCTGGCCTCTCCAGCTCCTGCCGAGGTGATGTGCATAAATGATAATAATATATAATAATAAAAATTTATGACTAGAATGATATTATGCCGTTCTGTGTGTATCAGAGTGTCTGTGTGCGCCAGCATGAGAGGAGGGCAGGCGAGGTGCTCATTCGCGCTAAACAATGCCGGAAAGGGTCGTCGACTCTAAACGGCGGACGCGCAGAGAGGGTCAAACGCACGGATGGTGCCGACAGCCAAGTCGAGCTGCTCCGAGCTAGTGTTCATCTAAAAACGGCACAATTATTTCGCTAGCGATGTTTCCTGAAACGTGTGTCTGTGTGTATGTCTGTAACGATGAATAGCCCACACATACGCTGGCGGTTACGCATGATACGAGTCTTCTGTATGCGGATGACAACAGCCAAAGGTTGTTCCAGGAGAACTACCAATGGGTTGGATAGCGTCAACAGAAACAAAGGAGGTCAACGAGCTCTTGCAGATCGACGGATGATCGGGCAGACAGACACATCGCTTCACTCGACATGAACAAACATGCACGTACTCTTTCGATCTGAATACAAATATAAATGTGTACATATATAATATTGATATAATAGTAGGTTTTCGCTAAGCTGATGGACGCTCGATGACGCCACCGCCGTTGCCGTCGCGTCTGTATTGGTGCGTGCGCGCCTCGTCCAGACGGCCGACCGAACGCGGACGGATTTGTCAAAAGGTAGTGCGTGCGAAAAGATGCTGGGTGGCGCAGATACGGGAGGAAGGGGCATCAACGAGGAGAAGGAACGCGATGACAAGCTTGATGGTGGAAAGAGCCAACAGTGATATTCGAGCACGATATTTATACACCGATGGAGCGGTGGGGGCGGTAGCTCGGCATGTTGTTCTTATAAATATCATTTTTAGAATCGGAATTATACGAGAAATTATCATCTTATGAACTGAATACGAGCCGACAATGGTCAAATAATACTCAATCAAAGCACCCAAGTTAGACAAAAGAAAAACACTTTACGCGAAGGTTACATCAGCAGTGTCCAGTGGAGCTGAATTTTAATTGTCACTATTGACGCTGTTGTAAAAATAGGTATATTAAAATTATTTGTTATTAAATTCGACAAGATGTGTATATATGCGTTCTTTGATCTTTCTTAACCGTGCAGTTAACATGACGAGATCAAATCTGTATGTATCAAACTATTGTTGCGGCCTTTGCTCTTTGTTATATGTATGGTCATTTATACCATATAATTTATACGCGATAGAATTAACTACCTAGATGAATGAACATTTTGTTTATGTACGCTACTCGTTCAAAATGTAGAGGCTTCAGTGTAGTGGTTTACGGGAATCATATCACGCAGATTTCGATCAAGTACTAGTTGAGACAGCGGAGCCCACCAACAAACAGCTCGTATCCGCGAAAATGTCTTCTTTGCTATGATTCATCACCCTGCCCATCACGTCGTTTAACACCAGACATTTTAGCTGCTGTCTTCCGCTAGTTCTTGCGATATGGAAAGCAATAGAGAATACATTAATTTTCTGGGCGTCTCCTGTCGCCGAACGATACCAGCTTCCGCTGATGATGATGATTGTTGGGTCGGTGCAAACGGTGATCGGAGTCTAAATCTGGTTTTCCATTCCACCTTGCCTCAGTCATCACTTTACCGGCAAAAACATGATCTTGCTTTTTTTTTTTTTTTTCGGACCGCAACGCCTTTACGGTGTTTTGCTTTCCCGAATCACAGCGATACTCGACATGATTGTCTTTTCTTATTGTATTTGAATTTCTATAGCTACGCGTGTCACTTCTGTCGGTTTGTGTAAACTATGGTTGTATTTCTTTCAGATATATAATTGCAGTATGAAATATCTGCATTGAAACTCTGCGAGCTCGAAGTTTGAAAAGAGATACTGGCACGTTGTTAACTAACATTATGAGATGAGCGCATGCGTATTTATTGTGATGCGTATTTTGCAAATACATCTGACGGACCAACCCGAAATCGTGTCCGAAGATTGCGTTTTCAAGATTCAAAGGAAAAACATTGTCAGTAGATGGTGCATGTTAGAGAGCAGTATACAGAAGCTACGGGATACCTAAAGTTTTGTTCCTCCCTGTGTATCATCTACCGATGCATGAAATAGCGTGCTAATGGGGTACACACTACGGCCACGGTGTCAAGAGCCGTAAAAACGTGCAATTGTAACATCGGCTCGTTGGTCTAGGGGTATGATTTTCGCTTCGGGTGCGAGAGGTCCCGGGTTCAAATCCCGGACGAGCCCTTTTGTTGCCAGTTAGCAGGCAACATTTCTTTACTATACAATGTCATCGCAATAACGTATTTACAGAAACGTTGCAATGCAACTCCAGAAATAATATACTTGGTTGAAAACGCTGTTTTTCCATAAAAGCTTTTTGTATATATAAGCGTATATATATGTATATAAATGTTCATACATACTTTGCTAGGCAAGAATTACGGTATAATTGCACACTCGTACCAAGCATTCCAGTAGGGACGAACTAGTAATGACCGAAAGGTCTAATAGGTCGTAAGATTTCTCAAAACAACAAGGTATTGCCAGTGGAGCTGCTGACCATTACCTACAATTCCGATTCGCATGCACTCCATAATTTCTCAAGGAAAAATAATTACTACTTAAAATTCTTGTTTCTGTTCTGAAATACAAATAGACATTCTGCCTAACAGAAACATATTATCTGTGTACTCATTTCGTAATGCCCAAATAATAATAAAGGCATGCATTCTATGTTGATAAACCCTAGTTGATGTGACGCATTTTTTAATCAATACATTAGATTACCTGAATAAGTCATGAGTCATTTCCTTGCTTTTTTCTTTTTACTTTTTTTCTTTTTCTTTTTACTTTTCGTTCTAATAAACATATTTTAATTGTATATTTTTAGAGGCTAATAGGTCCTGGCCTATTGGTGAACGACTGCTATCTGCAGTGGTCCATCAATAGGCTTGGACAACAATCCACATTGACTATAATTACAGCTCCCATAGTTCTTGCACTTCACAATCAGCAACCTCATAACCCATCGTGAACTTCGTCACAACGATCATCAATAGCTCTACAGAGGTTATGACTCTGCCGGTTCCCGCAGCTATTTCCTTAGGGATCAGGATATCGTGAAAAGTTGAGAGACTTTCTATCATTTACAAATGAACTCTATCCATGGAAAAACCTGAGTGAGTAGCGAGAAGAGAGAACCTACCTATCTAAACTAGAAAAAGACAGGCCATAAGACAATGCGACAGATAGCGTCGCATTGTCTTATGGTCTGTCTATCATTTTTCTTATAGATGGACATACCGGCCTATTTATTGTGTTCTACGTATAGCATTATGAGGTGTAGCACCGGCTTATTCGCTAGATGTTCGCGATCATAACTTTCCAGGAAATGTAAAATATCTTCCTGCTGCATTAATAATATCAAGCATATTATATATGAAGTACACTTTTTGCTTAGTTTTGCTTGCTCTATTTCCTGCTATCGACTCGCTTTTTTGATTATCTTTCAGTAACTTCTATAGTCATCATAACCTCTTTACCCTGTCTAATTTTTGACGCCAAGACTGCCGAAATTACAAATGGTTATGAACTTGATTTAACATAGGATATCTATAATAGGACAGAAAAAAAAGTACGGCACCTATGTTTGTGCTGAGAATTGTTTACTTAGATATAACAATAATAATAACAGTCATATGTTTTTGTTTTCAAAAGAGCTTTCTTTCACCGAAGAAATGTACCTTTGGGATATTTAGGTACGTTCCATCAAAAGTAATGATTTCCTATCGAGTCCGTCTCACATATGTATTCTGCTATTGTAGAATAAGCATTGGTGTCACAGTTGGCTTTTAAGAAGCCATGATTATACGACATAAGTGCTAATCGTGCATTGTAGCAGAAGTTACGTTTGTAATTCGCGCGCTTTGCCAAGGATATGCATCGGCTTTAGCCAGACGAAGAAGCTACGCGACGCTTGACGACTGAGCTAAACACGCACGTGGCATTGCTTCACGAATCTATCAGGGCATAATAACTCCTTCCCCTTGCCGCCTTTCAATAACACACTATCGTCAAATGGGATAGTTCGCTTCAAAATTTAACCGCTATGCCTTAGAGTAAACAATAGAAAAATCTAAAGCTTAAAATTGTCTTTCCATTGCCACAATCGGACGGATAAGGCCGATTTGACGTGTAGTTCGTTTGAATTGTTACCAGTGGCTTCGTTTAACCTATGACACCTAACTACTATCAAATATTACCGCAGGGAATTAGCCTGAAGTGTGACCTATCTCAAATTGGTGGGCAATATGTGCCGCAGACTTCGGGAAAGCATGTTGGTAAAATGAAGTAAGAAAAATAATAATCTATAATGAGAAATTGTTTTAAGAAAACTGGGAAACAAATACAAAAGTACAAAGCATGGCCAACGACGTTTAAAGTAGTCGAAATACAGGAGTTTATGTTATAATCTCTGGGAAAATTACGTTAATCTCTGGCTTAGATATGGACAGAAATCTATGGTTATCGAGTGTAGTCATATATTTGACTTGTTTTAAATTTTTAATGAGTGAGTTTTTATACCGATACCGAGTAAAGTGATTTCCATTATTTTTATTTGAAAATCGATATTCGTAGTCGCAAAAACCCACTCTGACAGGGTGTCAGCTTCTCTTGCTGGCCTATATTTTATACCGTTAATGGGTAAGCATTGGCTCAGCTCAGTTAGCAAAGAGCCACACTTCTCTATAGTAAAAACACAATCGTTATTTCGGTTCTGTATTTATTTATACTGTAACATAGTGGATACGAGGAGGGTATGAATTAATTAGATCTAACGGGACACGACGGTACAAAATTAGCTACATTTGTTACCTTGCATTCATTATTTCGCCACGAACTCTACTGGTGAGAAAACTCATCAGTAAATTAAATTTAATATAATGATCGTCCTGTATGCGTCCTATTTAACTTTTCGATCGGATGACCCGTGTTTCTCGCACGATGAACGTATAGCAGTGCATTGATACTTCCTGAACGCCTTGTCGAGGCCGATCAGCTTCTACTACGACTGATATCCGTCCTACTAATATTAACATGGAATGTTTTGGGTAAGTTGAACTTTATCGGATAGAGTTCCGTTAGAACAGTGACGTATTACAGACTGACGGATGATAATAGGTTCGTTCAGACCCTGCGATTATTTGTACAACTAATAACACCTGAGTGATTTCAACACCTATCCTGCTCGATACTTTGTTGCTATCTGCTATGTAAATTTCAAGTTGTCTCTACGGCCAGGAGATTGTGACCACTGGCGGCGCCTACGACCGTACGAGCAGATCGTCTGTCCAGCCAAACTAAACCAGCTAAATATGTCGGTTTGTATGATTGATGATTTTTCCAATGACTGGAATTTTCGCAGCGTTGATTGTGATTTTATCACGTGCTTTCTAGTCATTTTGCTTCATTGGACTTGTCGTTGTTTGCGGCGCATATACAGTATCCGTGACTATGCCGACATACAACTGGGCAGTGTGAAATTCGAATACTGGCTCAACCTTATTTTGCCAGCATGTGAGATCGACGAAGCGAAAGTAAGTAAACAATTTGTACTCGCTAATCTAGCTTGCAGTTATGATAACAATGTTTGTAATTGATAACCATACAGTAGTACAATGGCCGATAAGCGATGCTGTATATCAGACAAGATCACGTGGAGCCCCTCTCTCTGTATTAAGGGCCATGTTTAATTTTTGCGTCGGAAATAACCCGATGAAATGTACGCTCATGTACGTATATATAGATACGTATATGTTATTATGTAGGAGTGTCTGTATGAAGAGCATGCGAACAAATCCGTGTATTCGGCTAGTTTAAACAAATATGTACTACTTGATAATAAAAGAACTTACACGCAGCACTGAAGCCGAAAATGTCGACGCCAAGATGCTCGCCGCCAATCAAAGTCCAATATCTTTGTCAACATCACTTGCAAACTTAACGCACAAAACTTTACGCACATCTTTCGAAACTTATTTCAATTTCCGGCCAAACACAGCATGAACACATAATATCACTTGTTATATTCACCACTCGTTCATGTACTATCTTCGCTCGTATGACCTACATTATTTATGTCAGCTCTCTATTTATATAAACTCTACATGTCTACAATTTCCTTTCCTATATAAAATCATGTTACCACTTCAACCACTGGCAGTGACTATTGCAGCCGTTTTCCCGTGTAAGAAACTCTAACTAGAACTTCTATAGCTGTACGGGCCGATCCACATTTTCGTCTCAATGTGATAGTCTACGGCAACCAAGCCGTTCATAAATCTAAGATGAAACAGAAGCATAAGGAAACAGAATTGCACGCATTATTTCCACTAGTAGCTTGACTAAACAAAGGTTACATCAATATAGTATAAGTTACTCGGCAGGACCCTTTCTGGTAGGACAAAACCGAAATGAAAACAATCATAACGGTTTTTCACGTGCTTTTATCTCGCTTACTGAGTAGAGCAGAAGGATGTAGTCGAACGTGCTGAATGTTAATATCCTTCTTCATATTCAACCCTTTTTCGCTTCAGAATATCAGGCACAGATGAAGCCAAGTTGAAACGTTTGGCTTAAAGCTCTATCGTAATCAGTTGGCATTGAAAAACGTACTCGTCAGCCATCTTTGATGATCCGGAATTCTTTGCTAGCCATAATACAAGACAAAAAAACGACGTCTTATGTGGGCGACTATATAGAACTCGGAACGTTCTCTTCCCTAATGGCAATATTAGACGCGTATCCTGATCAAATTGTACTTTTTTTCTGTAACTATTAATTTCGTAGTTGAGAATTATACTAAAAATATACCACTCTTTCATGTATGTATGATCCTGAATGTATTTGTATATTTAATTATACATGACGAAGTCACCGATTCAAAGATACGAGTTTGACGCAAAAGCCCTATTTAACACGTAACCAAACATACTTTGTTTTTAACCTGCATGTCCACACGCGGCGCAATTTGAAATCAGTTTTTATCAAGATTGCTTGAATTTCTATCGTGATATCAATAGTTGCTGCCTCTTGTTGCTCAGTCTGAGGAAGCAAGCGAGCATCGCAAAGTAACGAAGCTCACAACCGAGCGCCCTTTCAAACTTATGCTTCTTGTGTCAAATCAGCTAACGCCATCAATTTATAGAGCACACAAACACGACGACGTAAAGATAATGCATTATCGCTATGCTCTTTTTCTCCTTTCAATATTTCGTCAGAGAAATGCGATAGTCTAAAAGAGGACATCTTTCCGGTTAAGGACTCGGTAGATGGCGTCATTAACGAGCCTTACATTGTACCTTCGTGCTGCAGGAGCGATACACAGTTATTTAGGCGCTAACTGGTTTCTATGTTGACTAAAAGGCACCTTCTAATGTCCTTTGTGTCGCCTGCCAGTTCGTCCTTTTGGCCACACGTGTTCATGTGTGTGCAAAGTAAGCTCCGCAACGTTGTCGGCATCAAGTGAGTTATCTAGGGTCGAACACACGCCCTTCAAACAATTGGTCGTTTAATCAATCGAGGAGTCAGTCACTCAATCAATCAATCAATCAATCAATCAAACAAACGACAATTTAAACTATGATCTAGAGAGTCTTTGCCTCAGCCTCCTCCTCCTTTTGTCACTCTTCCTTCTTTTTACCTCACACATTTTGCGTTCAAGCCAGCTGTTATTCGTTAACAGCAGTTAATATCCACTTAGCCAGTTGCAACGATTGAACCTATCTTCTCTTTGATTTTCCTGCATGCTCACGGTCCATCATAGTCCACTGAAGAGCATGCCCAATTGGCTCTATAATGCCAAACAGGTCCTTTTTGGCGTTGCGGCCTCGGCCTCGGCCTCGTTTAGTATTTGGTGGGAGAGTCAAGAAAACAACTGAGCTACAAAACCAGGCTGTAAAGAACTTCCGATGGTTATCATTCTGTTCCACCTATTATTCTGCAGGCCTGTTGATAATGTTGCGTAGCAAGAATGGCCGCTAGCTGACCCGTGTAGAAATGCATACACTGACAATCGACCCTTCGCGCATGATTTCCGATCAGCATGGACGAGCTCTTGATAATCCTAAAATGTAGTAACTGACTGTCGCTGTTCTACGAGCACGGTTGTTGCACTGTGATATACAGTTTCTCTTTGCAAGTGGCGAAAAGCTAAAGTGACTATGTTCTGTTCGTCTCTTTCTGTGTATTTCACTACTATTTTATTTTTTAGTGAGAGTGTTTGTGAGTGCGTGTGCCTGCTGCCCATTTTTGCGTTTTTCTAGTATGGCAATAGAAAGAAATTTTAAAAACAGCTAACATTTTCAGTTAGTCAGTGAGTGTGCATATATACTATAGAAAGAGGATTTTGAGAAGTTTTCAAATCCCAAACACAATAAAGGAAACAATAATATCTCCTTTCAGAGCACGGATCGGATACGACAATTCTAATACATATCCCCACAACTTAACGGCAGCGTAAGTGCATTTTACTTGTATAAGAAACACGAAAACCATCAAAAAAATAGAACGCCTACAAACAGGCACCGTCCGAGCAAACGTTTAACGATGATCCCCCCCACTTTTGCTTTCTAAACCTCTTTATAATTCCCTTATTCCTTTTTAACTTATACACAAAATACTACAAGCCATAAGCACTAAATATTGTTGTTTCTGTCCGCTGTCGTCGTCGTCTTGCTATTGCTGTTTTGTCTGTATATTGAACGAGCTTTTCACCACTTGCACCGTTCCTAGTAGAGGCTCGTTGGATGAGAATAGCGAATGTTGGCTTGCAGTTTGCCGATTTCGAGCTGCAGCTTCTGGCGTTCGAGTTCAAGGTTCTCCTTCTCCAATTCGAGCTTTTCAGTTTCGACGATGAGCTTCTTCTCCTCGAGTTCGATCCGTCTCAGCTCCCGTTCTAGGACCATCTCTTGGAGCTGTTCAACGCGTCGCTTCGATGCGCCGCCCTGAGAACCCCCGGCTGACGAAGCTGCCGGTAACGATGAGCCATTTAGGTCGCCTGCGGTGCTCTTTGAAGGCAGTGGACCCGCAGGAGCTTCCGTTGTGTCATGCATCACATCCGGTGGTGCTAAAAGCCAAAAAAAGCACACGAGAAGAATACGACAGGCAGCAATGGAAAGCAAGAACAAGAGTAACAATTGAATTAATAAATAAATCAATTTAAGCTAGTCGAAACAGGCACGTTATCTGAAAACTCGGTGATGATTTTCGTCTTATACAACAGTGTTCGTTTAACGCAGCATAAAATAGATACTGAAAATAAGAATGAACCAGCATGTACGATATGATAACGCGCCAACAAGTAACTGCAGGTTCTGTTTGCTGCGCTAGTTACAAAATGAAAAAAATTAGCCGCACACTGACATCTAATGCTCTTAAGATGGCGGCAGGCTGAATCAGCGGCCGCTCAGATATTACGAGATTAGGATATTGTCGAAGCCATTTCCAGCTTTGGCTATGTGACATTTGATTTTCACATGACATAGTTTTTGCTATACCTGCCGCTGAAGTTTTTCATCACAGTTTTATAACACGACCCCTGGAATTTGTACAACACCAACGGAAACTCTGTTTGCATGTATTATGTATCGGCTGTCGACTTCTAAAGCAGACGCTTCTGCATACGCACGGGCGCCCTCGCCAGTACAAGCCTTCATTACTTCAGGAGATGCAAAGTACGCCTAAGCAATCAGTTCTCTTGCAATGCATTCGAATAGCAGAAGGATAACGACATGACGTAAATAAATGAAGGGTTGTACAAGAGATCTAGCTTGGACAGGAAAGCTTAGTTTAGGCAGGACGTTTTTGCGGCACAATCAATTGCTTCGTTTCACGAAAACTTTCATCGTATATATATATCAGTGAAGTTTGTATTCATAGTTGCTGCACTAGAGTTAAAATATCGTAAGAATAATAAATGGAATGATCAAAGAAAGATACGAAAATGTCTCAACTTGTTACAATACATGGAAAGTTTGCATGAAAACTGCTTTTGAAAAAAGCGATCTGGTGTTTGTGACGCGTGTTTTATTTTCACGGTACGGTTTTTGCTTTCTCTATCTTAATACGACAATTATAATGATTCTTATTGCTATTCATTTTTGTCCCATCTTTCTGTACCCTTGCAGTGTTACGTTTCTGTTCGAATAACCGATGTTCTATTTCAATTTCTCGATTTTCTATTCTATAGCAGCGAAAATTAAACTCACTGATCATCTCTTAGAAGAACTGTGAAATATGTAAGATGAATCGAGTCTTCCTAAAGTACGAAGTTGGATTTCTCCTACGTATTGAGCGGATTATTGCCGTGGCATTAATTGCGACGACCTGGGTGTACTCAGATGAACGCTTGATACACGTTTGGAAAATACTACTCTAAAAAAGAGCTCCCGAACTTCGTCGAATTGGGCTACAACTAGAAGCATCCTGTTTCATAGCAGTCAGCATCTACTTATAGGCTCCATTTCCTATTCGCTAAGCAAACAAGCTTCTTATCCTCGCTAACACTAGCGCTTCGTATAGGGCGCCCGAACTATGGCAGGTTGGAAAAACGGTTATGGAAATAAAGGGTTAATGTAAGTTCGGTAACAGCATACACATCTATAGCAATGTTGTCCTTCTGTATTCTCACACGAATATGTAGGTCATCATTCACAAAGTTAGTAAAAATAATAAAAGCCCAGGACTCGAATACCCAATCATCTATTAGCAGCACACTAGATATCCTCAATTCATAGTCATTAATGAGTACGTTATTAGCATTAACCACAAGTTAACGTTAAGTTAGTATCGAATCACCCACCTCCGTGCACCTTAGCCGACCTAGTAACGCTGGACAGCCCGTGTGGCATGATGACGCCCGCTGGCCCTGCCGCTTGCGGTGGCTTGGCTATTTCACAGCCAACTCCTTTTTTGTCGTCAGTTAGTGTTTCACCACTCTGTTGATACCTTAATGCTCGTGAGACGCAACGTAGACAAGGCATGCACGGCCCACACAGAATCCCACAACAATTCGTTAATCGCTTCCAGCTCGGAGAAGCGTTTTCTAACCCTCACAAAGTGTCTAGTGAAGCGCAGTGATGGTCAGCAGAAATTGGAGAAGTCATGGTCATAGAGACAGTGACGGCAAACGCCCGAGGGCAGCACAGTGTTAGTATTGTTCGCATAAACCTCTTGGCAGCTGCCAGCTGATGGAGATGAAGGTACAATGGACATGGGTATGGGCATGAACATAGGCATGGGTATGCTGCCAAGGTAGGTGCAAGGAACTAACAGATTCTTTGACGGTGCTTAAAGGTTTAAGGCAAGCGTTTGATTGTTCAGCTTGTGCCGTATGAATTCGGCGGGTATTCCCTCTCTTAGCAACGGGAGCCATTACGATGAAACATAGTTCGACCAGCTCAACGTTAGCAGCAGTACTAGGCTCAGATCCTATGCAACTGTGGAGCGGAAAAGTAGCCCGCTGCTACGACCGTAGTCGTCGCCTAGCCAGCACACTTTTCTCACACTGCCACACAACACTGCAGCAATATTTACAGATAAACGCTTTACGTAATAGACTTCTGAAATATGGTATATATGCTGGCCACTACACAGTTTCAAAAGTGCCCGGCGGCCGTTTGCCCGCAACGGACAACGAAAACGAACATTGTGCAAATGTCGTGCGCAAGTAACTCCGACTACTGCTACCCGGAGTCTGGCTGGCGATTAGAAAGTGTTAAGCGCTAGGGGCAACATGCGTACACTAGAAGTTCAACGTTTCACATTGTTACATTGTTTCAACGCCGCGCAAAAATTTGGTCTATGGTCTAACGGTTGCGGTGTGGGGAAGGACGCGGACAAGCCACGAAGGAAAAAGTGGCGATCATCACAGAGTTTGACGCGACTGGAACGGAAAGGAATTAACCAAGAACATGGAATTAGGTTGTCATAGTTCGCAGAACCCTCCAGCGAGAGCGCAATAGCAAAGGGAACGCCGACAAGTAAACAGAGCAATCGCAGGGAACTACTATTGCTAGAACATCAAGTTTTATCTACTAGAAATATTCACTCAAGCTACTTGTCTGCTCATCGAACACAAACAAACGATCAGGTGCTAGAATCTTCCTTTTACTTTCTTTCTAGCAATTTTTGTAATTCTAAAAAAAGAAGACAGCTCCTCAGAGAGTGAACCTCGCTCCTAAGTTCGCACGCCATGTTCTCACGAGCACCAACACACAGAAATATTGTCTACAAACACTGGCTCTGATCATGCTCATGCTTCTAACGTGCACAGGAAGACAGACCTGTCTGGATAGCCCGCGGAAGTGATCAACACTAGGTATTTGTTTATAGCAGGTAAAAAATGCAGGTTCCCTTCGTTCACCCTTTGAGATCACTCCGTTTTCCGTAGATAAAGACGCTCCTATCTTCAGTTTCCGCCCGGATCCCTCATAAATTAGGCTTACCTAATACTATACGTGCACCTTGCGCAGACCGCGGTACACGGCACAATATTGTCTTGTCGGAGAGATAAGGTACAGAGGTAAGTAGGAAGGAAACTGCAGCTGTTTAGACAAGGCATGAGCAAATTTCTGTTAAAGCAGAACGTGAATTATAGAGCGCAATTGAAACGTTGCTACATCGATTTAAGCGATTCAATGATCTGCCATATGGCCGTCTTATTCAGCTCTATATGGGTAGAATTAAGCAACACAATGGACATGGAGACGTACGATAAATTAAAAAAAAAAAAAAAAAAAATAGCCGTTTTTAAATTATTAGCCTCGAATAAAACACTGTGCATGCATCAATAATGCATTTAATACAATACTTTTCAATATTCCAAAGTTGCGGTGCGTGCACTATCAACAGACCTACGCACCTGGTGTCGGCGGGAGGCTATGCACGGATAGCGGGCTGGCATCATCCGAACAAGTACTAGCAGAATTTCGAGAGTCAAGCTCACGAGAAAGCGAAGACGCGTGCGATGACGTCGGCGTGCCAGAGGCCGAAAGAGACTGTGCGCTCACAGAACGAGCCAGCACAGGCGGCACGACGGGCGCTGATGTGGATACAGCGGGCGGCTCAGATGACATTGTCATCACCTGGAATCGATTAGAAAATTGCGATAAAAACGATAAAACTGAATGCAGCTACATCGGCCAGGCAGCACCATTGTGAGCCTGTCAAAATCTGAGCAGTAAATAGACAGAGACATAGTCATTTAATGAACTACAATAGAAAAAATAACGTAGACGATGCAACGATTCATTGCTTTTGATGATGTTATTATTGATACTAGTGAATGTTGCCAGGTGGTACCTTTGAACTTACCAAGAATAGCTATAGCTCCCGAGTCCACCTATTTAGCTTTGGCCTACTTTGCCTATTTTCCATGATTCTATAAATAAAAACAAACAGTTTTAGCGTGACTTCGCATAGCGTGCCTGAAAACGGGCTGAGATTAATGGGAATATTATGTCGTAAATGTGGCGTGTGAATTTTTCATCAGCATGAACAAGCTCGCATGATTTGCCTCTAGCTATCCTGAAATAAGCACCTGTCTGATTATTGGTACAAAATGTATATATAAATAACACGTCTATATATTTTTTCTTTTTTAGACCAACGTGTTGTCATATGCTTGAAGTTATTTCAGCGGATTCCTTCCCGCACGCACACTTCAACCCCCATTGAAGTTGATTCGCGATGCTTTGTACGCGTACACAACATTGTAAATAATCTAAAGAAAAGCTTAGATTTCATTCGCTGGGAAAGAACGAACAGATGAATATATGGAAAGAGCATCTTCCGCTACCCAATATGGGGTTCGATGCATATAAAACATCTATTCTCTCATGTGGAAAATCTTTGGTGTAACAGATTTATGAGGCCACCTCTTGTAACCATAACTATCTTTCACTTCTGTTCCCTTAAATCCGTCGGTTGCTATTCTCTGAATGAGATCTGAATCAGCGACCGTTGGCAAATTCGTTGTTCCTGGTTGCTTTAGCAACGTAATCAAGAACAAGCCTCTTGGTGATTCAGATTATATCGCCCTTCACTTAATGTACAAGCTTCTTGATTTTACTGGTTGACTTCCTGCAGTACCCACTTCCTTTTCCTTCGGTGGATTAAAAAATAGCAAACTTCCAAAGCAAATGCACGGACTACCTAAGGTACCCTGCTCTGCATATATCTTAAAATAATAAATTAGCGTTTATCTTAGTGAAAACAAAGCGTTATTTAAAAAAAAAAATGTATCAATCTACGTAGTCGCCGTTGGCAACAGTTCTCTATCATTACGCTAAATTGCCTTTGTTGTCGTGTTGAATTGAACACGCAGTGTTTATTTACAAATAAGAATTCATTTATTTGTTCTTTAATATATACATTCGGTGGTGGAGATGCATAGGCATATATGTACTACTGTAAATAATCATAATAATAATTGTTATTACTATTATTTTTATAGACTGCATCTTTACCGATACCGCCACAAAACGCTCATAGGTGTAATCATTCCACCAGAAGATATACCCAGACAGCACATGTCTGTATACTGAGAACCATATTGTCAACCTTAGTATATTTTACCCGATTTAAACCGATGACAAGTAATGCAATGAAGTTGCCACCCAGTTTGCTCAGAGAATATTTTGTCTTATCAAGCGTATGGAATTCGATTCAACGGTGACATGTAGAACGGATATATCCAACCTGACGATATCCGCACGAAAGTCGGTGAAACAATGCATATGAGCCGCAACGCATCAGCGGCTCACTGTCCCTGCCGCCAAACCTCTTTCACTTCTTTGTCTGATGACACCTCAATCATCGTCTTTGAGCATTTTTGCACGTTGCGGCGGCACTTGCGGGACGAGAAAGTCGGAATTCGGCCGTTTCTGGAATGCGACAGGTGGTCCTGGTTGACCAGGTGATCTTGGCCACCCTGGCTCTTTCACAGCCTCCTTATTAATGAATTTGATCAGATTATCTTTCGTGATAGGCTTCTGTATAGACTTCATGACGCCCAATGCAGTTTTGTAGCCGTTTGGAAACGATTTATCGGTACGCTCGCGAAGCATAACCCAGCCAAGCTGGGTCTGTCCATTTCTGTCAAACTGCTGAAAGCAACATTCAACGATTTTGCCGTCCAAAGCCCGATCCTGTTTGGCCACCTTACCAAGCTTGGCGAAATGCTTATTTAACCCGCCAACGAACAGAAAGCCTTCTAATTTTCGTGGATCTCCTTCTGATAGTTTGGTGGTTTCTATCTTAAGTCGAAAATCGATCGTGTTAAGTTCCGGGGGCTTCCATTTGAGGATATAGTCGCAGCGATCAGCCTTGTAAGGCTTCGCGGAAGGCTGAAATATCAGCCCGTCGATTTCGTGTGCTAGTTGGGATTGAAACTTCTCGCCTAGTAACTTTTCTGTCATTGAGACATCATAAAATTCTTTCAAACGTACCCTAAATGGCTGACTATCCATATTAATAATGCCTTTTTCGGCTGCTGCTGAGCGCGCTCCAATGATTACGTCCTTTATGCATTCTACTCGAGTACTAAATGGTTGGTTACGGATGGGAAATTTTTCGCAAAATGCAATGTCGTAGATTAGGAAACGCGGAGTAGGTGTGCCATTATTGTTATCTATAACCATCTCGCCGTCGAGAAGCGTACACTGAAGATGCTGCTTAGGGTCTTTTTTCCACGGAAAGGAAAGACCGTCAACCTTGAAAACTGCATTATCCCGATCAAGGAAGTAGACCCGATTTTTTCCAGCGATAAGCATCATGTATCTAGTGCCATCGGCCTTCCAGCTAACGACATGGTGCTCCTCTTTCAGATTCAAGAGATTGTCACAGTCCATAGACACTGGCTGCATTCCCGGAAATCCCTGTCTACGGAACCCGCACATTTCTGCAGCCTTTCGTTGAATTTCCTCAGTTTCGTGTCTATCCCCAACAAAGCTGACCCCAGGTATACCACTCATGAACTCCTTAGAGCGCTTCTCGCGTTCGATATCATCACTTTGTGTAGCAGGGTCTTCCCACGTTGGCCATGGAGCTGCCTCTAGTGTGTCCTCCTCATCCCCGTACATAACAATCAGAGCGGAAATGTACTCCGGTTTATATATGCCAGGCTCACGAGCCTTCTGAAATTCTCGCACAGCCGCACTGATACTCCAATGCAACTCTTCTACAAGATAAGCGCAAATCAAAAAACCAGTTCGATTATAACCATGTGTGCAGTGGACGCCAATCTTTTTACAACGATGATTCTGCAAATAGCCTAAACACACCGCAATGAACTCTTGTTTGGCGGTTGCGTCAGGCGTTTCATTATGTCCCCTACATGCGATTTTTTTATGAACAATACCATTCCTTATGAAGGCTTCAGGCTTATAGTAACGCTTCGCAAATGTAAGGTCGACAATAAGCCCTAGATTAATGTTGCGTGCTTCACAAATGCCGATCACATGACTTGGTTCCCAATACAGTTCTGTTTTGGCTATATCCTTGCGGTAACGATCGTCCAGCGGCGTTTTGAAAGGCACGAATATATCGGCTAGGAGTGAGCCAATCTTAGGACAGTTCAGCCAACGGTCAGGCAGACGACTGGAGGGGGTATGTTCGTCCATCGTTGAACTACCCTTATGTCAACTTGGCACAGGTCTTCTAGAGACTTGACCCCTACGCCCGTTGGCCGCTTGGCACTTGGCACGTGCACGACGGACGGACGGACGGACTACGATGTCAGATCGGTGGCAGCGGCGACAGAGACGATTCGGGTCAGAAAGAGCGCAGATCGGTTCGGCGAGTTCATAGAGGAAGAGGTCGCGGCGGTGGCGGCAGCCCGGGGAAAACGACTCCAATCTGAAAGCAACAGAGCTTCTCTTTAGACACGGTTTTTCCGTACCGCGCCCGTCGCCTGTAGCTTTCGCTCATTTTTTTTTGTTGTTCTTCTCAATTTGTTTGTTTCTCATTGAGACAATTCGATGAGCTGTACTGCTGATGCTTCAATCAGATATATGCCTGTCTGCCTGTCACCTTTGTTTCAACACAACCCGCCACCGCCTCGAGTATTTTCGCTTCAGCCCCTTTTCGTCCCCTGGGGAGAGTGGGTCAGTCAATGTGATCCAGCTAAATGGCAACGACAACAAGCATTTCAATCAGAATACCCACTTCTATTAAGAATAGTAAAAAAATTACCTGTTCTCTTTGATTAAACATTGGTCACCACAACACAGATAGACGCCACAACGGATCATCATCAGCCACTGCGAGGTTAGCATCATGCTGATGTCATGAACCTGCATCCGCAATGATCAACAAGAGCGACCTGTTGTCCAAATGTTGTTCCGAGCAATAGCGGTTTTACGTTAAGATTTGGGCGAGAGCCTAAGATTGGGTAGCAGGAACAGGCAGTAGAAAAGAAAAGCAACAGAAAGCGGGGAAATGGGTCGCATACGTTTTTCAGTTGTTTAAATCACTAACAACCCGCCGCTATTATTGCAAATCAATAAATAATGATTTCGTAGGCCTTTCATACATCTTAAATGAGCTCTCAACACGCATGGATTTATACGAACGTAAAGGGTAAAACGAGATCGACACTGAGTCCAACAATGGAGACGTTCTGCCGGGAATCTACATCTATGAGAGCTGTGAAGATACCTTTTTCTCAATCATTCTGACCCTATTGAATAGAACAGCGCGCTTCGTGACCGAGATCAAAGATCGATTGCAAAGAGTTTGCAAATCGCAGAGCTAGACAACCCCGTTGGTTTGCCATTTGAGCATGGCAGAAAAAATCCTTTACAGATTACATAAACGCAATTAATATGTACCAACAAGTGCGTCTAAGGTATCAGTGGCGGTGTTGTTCGGCCGAAAGCAGGAACGGCAGCAGCAGTAGTAGTAACATCAGCAGCAAACTTTATTGTTATTATGTGTCCTATTCGTGTGGTAACGACAAGCGGGCGACTACTATCGAATATCTATTTATTTAATCTAGTGCCTATTGACATGCGCACGATACTATATTGCTTATAAGTAAATTTATATAAACACTAGCATTAGGGTTACTGACATCTACGTAATGCTGACGTTTCGAATGATCAGACATGCGATTAACAAACAAACCATAAGGCCCAAGCACACGTCTAACAACACAGTAGTGTAAATGAATCAGTGCCATACAACTAATTAAAATAAACGTTTGGGTAACAGCATATTTTTTTGTTTTTTTGTTTACATTTGTTATTTCAAAAGAAACTAAGGTTCCTAAATGCAGTTGGATTATAAAGCAGCTCCATCGGCATATTTTATATATTTTTTTTATCCACCAGAATTTTAATTGAAGTACCTAAATAGAAGGTCGCCTGCCGATGTGTCACAATTAGGAAGATCAGCTGTATTACAAATACAGATGCTGGACGTAAGAACCATGACGATAACACTTTTGGGCTTCTCTTTCCCTAAATCGCATCGGTTTTTCTTTAGAAGGGTGTTATCAGGTAAAGAGGGTACTTCATTATATTAAACTTGATTTGATTCTTTTTTAGCAAGTAATCGATTTCTTTTTCCACAAAAAAAAAGTAATTTAAAGTTTCATCAGAAACGAAAACTAGTAAATCTAGAAAACACCATTGATCACTCGACAGTAATAGTTTCACGCAATCGTCAACGCGCAGCAGCCCATCCCTTACAGGCTAATCACCGTCGCGGTGTGGGTGGATTAGGGTTCTGGAAAACCAAAGATAGTGTCTAACCAAAGATAATAATTTTTCCAAAGATAATGTTTTTATGCTACTTCTGCAAAATTGCGAAAATTGGTTCCCTTTTTGTTACAAATGAACTAGCTAATGTTCTAATTAGTGGCACACACTAGAAAAATACGTGCCCAACATACTTTATCAGAGGTACAAATGCCATGTCCTTTAAGTCGAAGAAATTTCCTCAAAGCTGTTCATGTGCATTTGTACGTGGCAACGTCATCTGATCTGATGAGTACGTTGAATCCGTACTTGTTTTTCTTTCAGTGTATGCCATTATAAGTACTAATCACTATTGTCAGACATAACTGAGAATTTCTGTCCCCTTAAGTTAACCTGTTAATGCCAACACGCTGAAAATGTGTCTACAAGTGAGATATTGAAATTATCCATGTAAGGCTCTAGCAAAATAAATGGTTCTATAGAATTGACACACTATCAGTAGTGCTTAGAGAACACTTATATGTGAGTGTTAACCGCTGGCGCAGCGATTCACCCGGCATTTTACCCAGCAGCCCTAGGAAAGGTAAAAGTGAATACTACCAATCAAAGTTAATGATACTGCACTACTTTTCCCTGGCAACATTGACACAAATGCTTAATAACGGAGCTTAAGGCATCGTGCATTACTTTGTTTTGTTAGAGCCGTAGCGATAGCGAAAGAAACCGTGGTCATGTCATGAAGCTACGAAGTAAGCGTTTATCAGAATGCGCCAGATCACAGTATGCTTATATGTCTGTATACATATACTTCTCGCTTGTCGATCGACCCTTGCTCCGTAATCTTGTAGACAGAGCTAGAAGCCAAGTGCCCTATTAGGACCCACCCCTCTTGCACAATTTCTCCTTGCAATATTCCTTGTTTACATTCAGCGCTCGACGTCACTTCAGAAATATTACATTCCAGATCAGAAGATCCAGACGTGATATAATTACTGGCCAAGCCGCTTGTTCAGACTGAACGTATACAGTAGTGGGATATTCGTGGATCATCGCATGGTTCAAATCAACCTCATTGCTATGGAATTAGCCGTACACGGAAGTAGCTTTGTTAAAAACTAGATCGATACTTTAGAAACGCAGTGTTCGCCTTTGTTTCCCTGCTTAAAAATCCAAGCTAAATGTTTTGAGATATCTGAAGTTTGTGCAATAGCTACAGCATGGATACTACACTCTGCAGCAGAGATAAAGGTTCAACGACCATTTTCAGTAAGCCTCGTGTTTTCGTTAATTCGGTTGACTGATTGACAAGGCTTAAAAACAGGGATTTAGGGGATAGAGAGACAGCAGATCTGCGTTATAAGTATTCTGTGTGCTATGCGTTTAAAGTCCAGTAGCAAGTGAAAATCGAGTCGTTTGCTCGTTAAAGTGAGTGCAACAGAACTGATACTTAGCCTATCGCGAGAAAGCAGGCACTGTCCCAAGAGGCTTTTCCGAAACTCAGGAACACATTATAGTTGCGGTTTCGTTGCCGCCTAGCATTGTAAGTCCGCTGCGAAATCGACGCGTGCTTTCTATGAGGGCTGCCCCTGTCGCCGACACCGCTGCCAGCCAGGAATTTCGTGGTGAGCACTTAAAAGAACACGAAGAAAGAGTCGGCAACTGTACTGGGATGCATCAACGCTGGCATCTACGGGGCTGACGTGGTGCCGAAAGTCATTTTGCTCAATCGCTCAAGTAATTCCTACGTTTTCGCTGCTACCGTTGCTGCTGGTGTCGCTATTACATCTGTCATTGTAACTTCCCCTGGCACTGCGGACGCCAGGGCGTGGTAAACAATGAGGCCGGTCAGCAGGCAAGACTATGGAACAAAAAAAACCGTTCGGACAGCAGTCGACCCTGGACAAACCTACAGATGAACAGAGTAGCGAATAAACGCTTAAACAGATAGATACACAAAGAACCAAACGAACGTCGGCAACAGCTTTAGCGCCGAGGCGCTACGCGATGCAACAGTCAGGTGTGGTGGTCATAGACAAAATGATGGAATAATAAACCAGGCTTGACATAGTGGAAGCTCGGTGCTCTGTATACATACTTGCAAACACTTCAGCGGAAAGCAAATACACCAGCTTATGGTGGTGATAAAACCAGCAGCTGTAGCGACGATGGCGGCGGCCAAGACGGCAACAACGAGAGCAAAAGTCACAATGATGACCGTGCGTACAGTCTACCCTTCGTGTTACCGACTCTGAGGTGGCATGGGTCATGGCCAAGACTCAAAGTGAAAGAAGAAATAAAAAGGTAAATGGTGGAAAGAGAAAAAGCCAAGAATCCATATACTTTTCGTATACATAGTGCGCACAGGAAGATATAATAGTAGCTTGGTAGGGTAACACCACAATCTAGTTACACGGCGACGCAAAAGCGAGGATGGTCATTGCAAATGGCAAGCTATCTCTAGTAATAGTCGTAGGAGTACAGTAGAGTACAAGTGTCTGTTCTTCGAGATGAATTTCCGCCTTCCTGTCCTCCTCTTCGTTCTGATTCTCTCTCTCTCTCTCTCTCTCTCTGTTCTTGCGTGTTTCCCCATGTATCTATAATCTTGTTACTCTACCTAGGCATGTAATTTCCACAGAATATGTCTAGATTTACGCTATTGGTCGACGGTAGTACTGTTCCGCAGGATAAAGATAAAGCTTGCAGGTTGTTGTCGTTCATGAAGAGAATGCGGGTGAAAGAAATATTACCGGAAAATACTATTGGGCTACAACACTCTTGTTGCATCTATTGATATACACGCTAATGTTGTTGATGTTGATGAAGTCTGCTGTGACGCAGCGCATGATGCAGCTTCTGTCGCCAATTATGGTGCTGCGAACGCTGCTGCGATGATGAAAAATAGCCGTCATATACAATGCACTATTGAAGGCATCCACTAATGCGGCCTTTTGTTGGACAAATTGTCCGTTTGTACGTGGAGACGAGCAGTAGGTAAGCCGAGGTTAAGTAAATCATACGGAGATGGGGGAAGACAGACACGCAAGCAGCTAAGTCCTCAGTGTGTAACAATCATTTCATAGCCGAAAGCCAACAATGGACATCTTGAACCTGAATTTATATGATCCGCTTCTCTGTACCTTTCATACGCCTGATGTT